AGCAGGGGCTGGCAAACGTTTTCTGTGAAGGGCCGGGTAATAAACATTTTAGGCAATGTAGGTCATATGGTCTCTGTGGCAGCTACACAACTTTGTCATTTTTATCGTGAAAGCAGCCACAGACAGTATGTAAGCGAATGGGAGTGACCATATTCCAATATATTATATTTTAAAAAACAAACAGATGGTGGGCTTCATTTGGCCCATAGGCCCTGGCTGGTCAACTCCTGAGACAGAGGCTTGTCCTTTTGCCAAGGAGGATTTATAATACAAAAAAGCCGAAAGTAAAACCAGGTGGTGGCATGAAATGGAAAAGCTGAAATCAATGAGTAAAAGTAAAGCTCTCCAGGAAGTTTCAAAAACCAAAAGTCAAAGAGTATGTAATTGGAGAGAGAAGAGGCATAAAATGTCTGCCTAAATGCATCAGGGTAAATTTTATTCTTTAAAAGGAAGAAAATACTGTGGGGGTGTTTTAGTTCTGGAGGGTTTTAGATGCCTATGGGACAAACAGTGCCATGTAGCTGGTTAGACTATCGAAGGCGCTCTAAGTCCCATTCATGAAAGCAGAGCATCCAGGACAAACAAGGTGAGCATCCCAGGGGGACAGGACTGTGTCTGAGTCACCACAGGACCCCTTGCTCCTAGCACAGGGCCTGACAGGCAGCAGGTACCCCCCGGGAACTCATACTTCCCCATGCTCTGCTCTGGCCAGGACAGTTTCATATCTGAGGGTCTCTGTTCCCTGAAAAAACCGGGGTTTGTTTGCCTGGTGGGTAACAGATGACTCCACAAGAACATGAGTTTTGATCAAAAGGAGTTTGTTTCACTTGTCACAAGCAAGGAGAGCGCTGGGAATATTCTCCAAAGCGGTGTCTCTGAAGGAAAGTGACAGGAGGGTTTCATGGGGTGATGGAGAGGGGAGAGAGTGCATCGGTGCATGTAGGGAGGGGTCCCAGTGGCGCAGCCTCAGTGAGTCATGCTGCCAGCGCATAGGTCACATGTTATGGTCATGAAGCTGTAGCTCCTCTCGGGGTAGTGACTTCAGGATGGTAATGAGGAAAGTTCACTCGGGTTCATCTAGAAGTTGCCAGGGTCTGTCGGGAGCTGGTTCCAGCTGACTAGGTCACCACATTCCACACGGGGCTTGGGAAGAAACAGGCAGCGAGGCAGGAAGCTGTAAAACAAGCCGATTGCTCAAGTTGGTTAAATGTCTACATTCCCAGGAGACCCTCCCTGTCTGCTTACATCTCCTCTGTGCTATGTCTGTGCTGGATTCAAAGGGGAAGAGGTGTTTGGGCTAGAAGCTGAAGGAGGTGTCCATGTGAGGAGAGAGGAGGGATGGGGGGAAGAGTGCTCCCACAGAGGGCTGCGGCAGAGTCCATCCAAGATCCTTGGCCCAGGCTCGCTTCTGCGCTCTTTCCCTTTGAATTAAAATACAGGTTTCTAAAAAATAGTGGCAGAAGGTCATCATACTTTCTAAGAGGTCTCGGCCAGGCACGGTGGCTCACGCCTGTGATCCCACCACTTTGGGAGGCCAAGGCGGGCAGATCACGTGGTCAGGACATCGAGATCATCCTGGCTAACACAATGAAACCCCATCTCTACTAAAAAAAAAAAAAAAAAAAAAAATTAACCGGGCGTGGTGGTGGATACCTGTAGTCCCAGCTACTGGGGAGGCTGAGGCAGGAAAATGGCGTGAACCCGGGAGGCAGAGCTTGCAGTGAGCCGAGATCGCGCCACTGCACTCCAGCCTGGGCAACAGAGTGAGACTCCGTCTCAAAAAAAAAAAAAAAAAAAGTCTTCATTTCAGCTTTATTGTTTGTAAAAATATGCTCCCTTACCTGGGTGACAAGAAACAAATGTGCTGACATGTTTAAGGAAGGATTTGGAGTATTTTAAATCAGGCTATGAAGGGACATGAGTTTAAGGAACTGGTAGGTCCACAGTAGGAGTGCTCATAGCCACCAATAATCCCCTTACGAAGGAACTAATTATGTTTGGAGAGGATGTGTGTGCCTGATCAAATAATTAAAACTAAATTGCTCTCCTTGGAAATGCAAATTAACGAGTGTTAAAGCAACTCGGTTGGTCACATAGATAATAAATAGATGTGTCTTCTCAAGTCTGTTAGGTGGCACTGATTGATTTCCAATTCTGGCTACAACAGGGCCTGAGTGGCTTTTGAAACAAAGATGAGGGGACTGCAGGCCCAGTGGGGACAGCTGTTGAAAGCTTTAAGCCATTACACGCCACCCCCACCGCCTGCTTTTTGCAACTGAGAATAGGAGACCTTGAGGAACCAGACTTGACCTACTGCTGCCCCTGAACCCCAGCCCTGCAGGAGAATGAGGGAACGGTGGCACTGTCAACCCCGCTCCTCCAAACAATGCCTTCCATACCACCCAGTGCTGTCAGGCCAAAGAAAATAAGGCACTGGCTGAGCACCAGGAGCCAGATGGACCTTTCGGTGGGGGTATGGAGGTGTGGGGGGAAGCAGGGGTACGAGGCCTTGGGGGGCTGACTGGAGTACTGTTACATGAGTTTTTAAAAAGTTTTTGCTCAGCAATTAATTAATAAAGAATCTTATCAAACAATAAACAAAAAAACCCAAACTCAGGTTACAAATGTTTTATCATTTTGTCAAAGAACCTATATTAATTAAGCACCTATTACTCAGAGCTTGCTCTTGAGTGGGCCTTTGTAGGTGGGCTGGGAGAAGAAAATTGGATTTCTGCCTTGAAGGAAGTTACATTCTTGTTGGGGGGACAGATTTTAGGTAAACAAAAAGCATGTTCCCAATTCCTTTTGCCTTGCTGGCATCAGGCCCTTTCCTACACCTCTCATCTGGAGGAAAATGATTACCTAGAGCAGGTGTGACAAGTGACACAAGAAGGAGAGAGAAGCCCCGCCAGGGCATAGCTGTAGGATCTCATTTAGCTCTCCAGAGGCTGTGTGAGGGAGCCTCTAATCTCCTTGCAGCCCAGGGACCTGAACCTTCAAGAGATGTAGGGTAAGGATGCTATCTGGTTCCAAGGTAGGGGGATACAAGAGGTGGATGAGGTAAGACAAAGGAACACCTAACAGTGCATAGAACCAATAAGCACTCAGCGAACGCTCCCTCTGATTCCTAGGTAACTTGTCCAAGGCCGCAGACATCATTGAGGACAGAACCAAGATTCATTTACCCCCGGTTAGCCCAATTAAAAAGCCCCCACCTTTCCTTACTGACTGCAGGTACCTCTTGGGGTTCAGTTGCCTTCATCTTCCTCCTCGTCTTGCCTCCTATTCGCGGTCACACCTCCAGCCTCTTTCAAGTCCACCCAGAGAGCCTTTTCTTTCCGTGTGTTGGAACGCAGTGTTGACAACTTCCTGGCCTTCCAGTATAAGCAGAGGAGGGAGATGAGCAGAAGCAGGAGCAGGACGAAAGGGCAGATGACCAGGAAATAGAGTAAAGGGACCGAGGAGCAGATCCTGGAAGGAAACGTGGGCTCTGCAACGAAGGGAGAAAGAGAGTAATTCATCTCCAACTTATTTGTACTAATCAATTACAAACACTCCTGGGATTTATTGTTACGGGCAAGTATATGTAAAAATAATGGGGCCAAATAGTAGTGTGCTCCTGAAATCATGAGGAGCGCAGGACTGAGCACCGGGGGAAGAGAGCTCCTGGAACGGGCCCTTCTAATGCAACACCCCCTTGCCCTGCAATTTCCAACCACTGGAGGTTCCAATGACCTACTTAAAACTAACAGCCAAAATGAAAAACAAAACAAAAAAGAAAACCTCTCCTTTAATCTTCTTTCCTCAGAAAAGATATCTATAATTCAACCCTCGTTCTCAACAGTGTTGCCAGTCCTGAATTTTTAACTTGAGTTATTCCCACTGCTGCTTCTCCAACACACAGGCACACACTCTTTCTCACACACACATACACACACTCTGCCCTGCACTCTGCACTGCCCTTATAAAACAATCGCACCCACAATGAGGAGCCCCTTGCCCCGCTGACCCAAGCCTGGTCCTCCCCGTGGGTCTCCCCCTTCCCTGGCCCCCTCCCTTCCACTCCTTTCCTCTGTCGCTCTGGCTGTGGCCACCACCTGACATGCTGCATCTGAGCCTCTAGGTCCTTCTGGGCTAGCTCCATCACACTTCCCACTCTCCCAGCTCTTCCTACCTTGCTGCAGGCACAGTTCTTCTCTTCCATCCCGTTCTCACTCAGTCCTTTGTTTAGGCCTCTTTAGTTCCCTTTTACTCGTCTCCTTTGTTCATTATAGTTACTCGAGTATGTCTGATAGTGCCATTTGTTTCTATATTCCCTACAGTGCCTAGCACATGTGCTCAGTAACTTTTGCTGATCTGAATTAAATTGGATTGACTGCAACCACATGGGCAAAAGATACTATATAAAGGCATGCTGAAGCATATGATCATCCCACAGCTGCAGTCCGCCGGGAAGCACTAGCAGCAGACACACGCACGGAGCACACACAAGCAGCCCGAGTGGCTCCTGGCCACACAGCCAGGGAAGCAAAGGCCCAGAGGACTGCAAACACCACAGGTTTCAGGGAACAGTCTATTGAAGAAGAAAGACACATGCTTAAAGAGACCAATTACTAAATGTAGTCTTCCAATCACATCTATTTATGACATGATATCCGAAATCAGGGCTGTTCTGAAATATTCAATGCTAACAGTAGCTGTGCTTTTACTGGAAAATTGTAATGACATAAGCAATTTCTTCTTCAAAGGTTAAGCTGCAGGATTCATGGGATTATAGATGCTTAGAGATGAAAAGAGGTTTAGAGGTCATCTTGACCAACCTTCTGCTTCAAGAATTCCATTTTTGGCATTGCCAATGAATCTTACATGTTGAAGAACATCTCTTTGATGGAAGTCAAGAAAGAATCTAGACATTCGCTCACCTCCTGCACTGTGAGCTCCTTGAGGGTAGGGCCTGTGTCTTGTGTGTCTTTTTATCTTCCTCAACTCTTTGTTCACAGGGTCTCAATGGAGCCTGATGAATGAATCAATTGCACGAGCACATTCCACACATGGGAACCCAGGGATGGCTGCCATCATGCTACACAAAGTACAGATCATCACTGAACATTCGGCTGGCAGCTCTGAATGAGGCTGGCAAAGAGCTGCAGAGGTTCGTGGCCTGGATTTTCTCTGACCTCATTTGTATCCTTCATCCTAAATTTGGTTTTGTTTTTTGAATTGGTGAGCAATGATAAAGTTAGGTTTTGAATTCTTTACCATCCCTCTGCTCCACATCCTATCTGACCCCTCTTCCAATGACCCTGCTTGACTACAGTTATTCTCCCCCTATCTTATCTGAGTACATCTAACGGCCCACGGTGAGAAGGAAGCATAGACTGCAATGATGCAAGTGAATGGAGCCACGGAGTCCAGGTATTATAAGCACTGGCTGTGGGCATTTGTGCAGAGTAATGAATGAGCACCTATTCTGTTTCAAAGAGAGCTGAGTTCAAATCCTCAGTCTTCAATGTGCTGTTACTGACATTGGACAAGTTACTTATCCTCTCTTAATCATTAGTTTCCTCATCAACCAAATAGGGATAACAATTTCTACAGTTGTGATGAGATCATGTATAATAAAGCATCTAATATCTAATGAAGTGCCTAAAGCATTTGTGGAGTCAGCAAGCGATAAATATTATCTAGAATGCTACTGAAAAAACTAAGAAAATCACAGGAAACCTTCTCCTAAGAGAAGAGAGAGAGAACAGGGCTGGAGCCTACAGATCCCTCACATAGGGACCCCAGGCTTGGCCATCTTCCTCCACAGGCTCTCTCTCCCTTAGATCTCTGGTCCCCCTGTCCTCAAATCTGGGTGACATTCAGCAAAGACTGAAGTGGATCCAGGGGCTCTGGCTTCCTTTTCTACTCATGGGAGGCAGAGAATTGTGAGGTGAAAGTCCACAGCACCAGGTATTACAGTTGCTAGAATGGTGGGGTAATGATGGCGAGATGGGGCCACTACACAGGAGGTGGAAATAAATCTACTATTCTTGTTTTTCAGCATGAAGGAACAGCCAGAGGGCTTGGCTATCCTGGTGGGGATGAGGCTGCTCAGCTTAGCGCAATCTACCATCAAAGGATGGCAAGGTGTGCCCCTTACCATGCTGAAGTGACCAACAGCTAGCCACTGTTACCACCTGTGCTGCTAAATCACCTCTCCTGGGAGGGCAGTGTTTGCTCTGGATCCCACAGTCACCATTTCCCACCATCTGCCTCTCACCCATATCTGGATTAGAATTAGTGACATTCAAACCATTAAGGTTTGGCATTTTGAATCAATCTGAGTAAGTGGCCAATGCTCAAAGTACAAGGCCTTCAAAACAAAGCCAAAAATGTAATGAGAGCACTTCATCGTGAGGCTTAGTTTAGAATATGCTTCCACCCACAGCCAAGCACAGCAAAAGGAGCACTCCTTTTTGATATTTCCTCAGAGACACTGACTTCAGAAGAAAAGAGGTGTGAGATAAAGAGGGGGCTGCCAACTCTTACCCACTACCCAACCCCAAACATGCAGCCATGTGGGAGTTGGCTCTTGCCACGAAATAAAAGTAGGTTAAGGTAACCTGATAACAAGTGCATCCCAGAATAAGTGAATCACTGACAGCATCCTGTTTCAACCCAACTGAAGATTTGCCTGCTCATTCTTTCATTAAGCATTTGCTGAATGCCATGTGCCTGGCCTTGCTGGAGGCACTGGGAAGCACAGGTAAGTAGCCTGGCATCTCCACAAACTTCCGTGTGATAGAGACAGACAGCTCCTTCAAGAATCCACTTCCTTCCCTTCCCTTCTCTCCTTTCCCTTTTTTTCTTTCTTTCTTCCTTCCTCCCTCCCTCCCTTCCTTCCTTCCTTCCATCCTTCCTTCCTTCCTTCCTTCTTTCCTTCCTTTCTTTTTCTTTCTCTTTCTTTCTCGTTCTCTCTCATTGTTTTTTTTTTTTTGACAGTGTCTTGCTCTGTCATCCAGACGGGAGCGAAGTGGCATGATCATGGCTTACTGCAGCCTTGACCTCCAAACTCAAGCAATCCTCCCATCTCAGCCTTTTGAGTAGCAAGGACTACAGGCGTGCATCAACCATGTGTCTAATTTTTAAATTTTTTGTAGAGACAGGGGTCTCGAACTCCTGGGCTCAAGTAATACTCCCGCCTCGGCCTCCCAAAGTGCTGGGATTACAGATGGGAGCCATTACATCTGGCCCAAGGCTCTACTTTCTAAATAGACTCTTACTGTAATAAAAGCTCGGAAATAGTAACAAGTACCACACCACTACAAATAATTCAGTTCCCAGGAAGCCTTACAGCCTGGCCTATCAATTAATCACAGACAATTCTCTAGAATAAGACATTTATGTCTAGGGTCTAAGGGTAAGGTAAAAAGACTGAGGCAGCTGTTGTCCCTGCCATGGCTTAGTCATTGGTAAGGAAATAAGATAGAGAGAGAGAGAAGAAAAGGCAAGGTCCATTCTCCGAAAAAATGTCTCTTAACTTTCCTGCCTTCACTTGAGCCACACGCTCTACAGTCCTGTTGTGTGGCCCTAAACCCAGCCCACGCTGGGATAGCTAGATAGAGAGCACGGAAAATCATCTGATAAGTGACCATAAGTAGCATATTATATTTGAACTGGATCTTGATAACACATAGACCTGGTATTCGCCAGGAGTGCAATTACACAGTGATTCAGTAAACATTTGAGCATCCCCTATGTGCCAGGCACTGTGCTAGTGCTACAAATGAGACACTCATCATCTTTGCCTATAGTATAGTCTAGCAGTGTGACAGATGTTAAACAGGTAACTGCAGGTGTGAGGGCTAAAAGAATAAGGGAAGTCTCTGAGGCAGTGGCAGTTAAGTTGCTGGGTGAGAGTGCTGACCAGGGAAAGATGGCATGCAGGAGCATTCCAGAAAGGAGATGGTGCATGCATGGTGAGATGTTGGACTGTCAGTCGTATCTACTCTTCTATTAATCCTTCCTTTCCTTCCTTTCCTTCCTTCCTTCCTTCCTTCCTTCCTTCCTTCCTTCCTTCCTTCCTTCCTTCCTTTCTATCTCTCTTTCTCTCTTTCTTTCTGCTGGCTTTCTCCCCTCTAAAACATAAATGTGCTCAAATCTGTACCATCTTCAAACCAAAACAGAAAAAAAGCAAAACTAAAACACTTTCACTTTCTCTGGATAACTTTTACCATTTTATTTTCTTCTCTCTTCCCCTTGACATCAAAGCTCTTGAAAGCGCAATCTGCATTAACGGGCCCACTCTCCCCTCCTCAACTTGCTGCAGTCTGACTTCCCTGATTACTTTTCTGTAATTGTTCCACAATGTCAAATCCAATGGATACTTTCCCACTGTTATCTTAATCAACCTCTTTGCAAGAGCTGAGTCTGTCAACTCTCCTCACCCTCTTGATACCCTCTCTGCCTTTAGTGTCTGTGGTACCACCAAATCCTGATTCTCTTCCCAGCAACCTATCACTCCTATCAGTCTCCTTCACAGGCTCTCCACTCCCTGAGAAACGGTAGTTTATCCCAGAGCTCCACCCTTGGGCATCATTACTGGCTACCAATGGATGACTTCTAATCTACAACTCTGGTGCAGATCCCATTTGGAAGTCTTGAGTTCTACTGGACAGATCTTTATCAATAACTCACAGGTACTCTGAACTCAATTCCAGCCCAACTTATTCAAAACTGAACTAATCTTCCCCTCCAAACCCCTGTCATATATTACCTTGCTTGGTAAATGGCCCTACTATCCATCTAAGCTAGAATCCAGATGTTAATCCTTAATTCTCTCTTTCTGCTCATTTGCCCTCTATATACAATGAATCGGCCTCTAAATCCTGAAGATGACATCTCCTAATACCTAATGCCTGTTCTTTTCTTAGTCATCATGGGTACTGCCTTAGCTCAGGCCTTCACCTTTTCCCAACTGGGTTTCCAACATTTCATATACTTCTCCCTGCACTGTTGGCCTCCCCTCCAATTCTTTATTTATTTATTTATATATTTTTTTGATACAGAGTTTCACTCTTGTTGCCCAGGCTGGAGTGCAATGGCATGATTTCGGCTCACCGCAACCTTCCCCTCCTGGGTTCAAGCGATCCTTCTGCCTCAGCCTCCCGAGTAGCTGGAATTACAGGCATGCACCACCACGCCCGGCTAATTTTTTGTATTTTTAGTACAAACGGGGTTTCTCCATGTTGGTCAGGCTGGTCTCAAACTCCCAATGTCAGGTGATCTGCCCGCCTCGGCCTCCCAAAGTGCTGGGATTACATGCGTGAGCCACCGTGCCCGGCCTCCAATTCATTTTAACGTGGGAACTTTCTAAAAGGAAAACCTGATCATGTCACTTCCCTGCTTAAACTTTTTCAATGAAACTTCATCACTGTCATGATAAAGTTCTTTCTTCTTAGCTTCATACTCTAGACACATTTGGGATCTATCTGTACCTTCTCCACCTCACTGGTCTCATCTCTTGCTATTGTACCATAGAGACTGCAGTTCCTGCCATTCTCAATGACCAGGAGTTCCCCGAATATAACATGACATTTTACATCTTATTATCATCTTGCATACTCTTTCATTTTCCTAAAATAAGTTTCTTCCTTTTCATGAGCCCCAGACTCTGGGGAACCTTCCCAGATCACCTCCCTACCTAGCCCTTCACCCCAGCCCTGCCTCTGTTGTTCCCATAGTCTACAGGAAATACCTCTTTGAAGACACCTATTATGTTGGACTTGATTTCTCCCACTGGACTCTAAGCTCTGTGGGAACAGACTCTGTATATACACTTTTGTGCCCTCAGAACCTCATATAGTTATTTATTAAACAAATGCCACTATTTTGTCACATAGATGTACACATGTAGATGTGTGTATACCTGTGTGTATGTGTATGTGCTGCATGTTTGGAGGCATAAGGGGAGAAGAAGATTACATTTGCTGAGTACTGACCATGTGCCAGGCACTGTACTGGATACTTTATATATATATTTATATTATGATCTTCATTTTATAGAAAGATGAGGCTCACAGCAAGTAACGAGAGTATGATTTCATAGCTGGTATTGGTAGTAGAGCTGTGATTTGAGCTTAGGCTGGTCTGATTCCAGCCCCTGGGATTTTTTATCACCCACACTGCCTCCCTGACTACCAGAAAGGAACAGCCAGGTAGAGGAGCCCAGATGCTACATTACAGGGATTTCCTTGGAAATCCTCAACATTCATTACCCTCAAAACCCTCAGTTTGTCACGACAAAGGCTTTCTGAAGAATACAAAGGCCACTCAATTTTTAATGTTTTCTTTCCAGGTTTATCTTTTAAAAACCATACACCTGTTTTACAAGGATCTCACAAAGATTAACAATATGTATGCTATGAAGGATCCCATCTGCCTCAGAGAAGACATGCTTTTCATCACAGACTGTATACTTTTTACGGTTCTTATCTATTTATTCTACTGCAAAAACTGCCGATTCTACAGAGTCTATGAATTCCACTGGGAAAACATGTACGGAATGTGCTCATGAGTATGGGACTTCCTGTAATTGTTGGAAAGGAAAAAAAAAGGTTGATAGAAAAAACATTTCTGCCTGGCACTCAGGAGAAAACTTCGCTGAAGAATGAACACGGAAAAACAATGATGAACCTCCTCAAGGAACAAATTGGATAGCCTCACCTTCCCCTCTGGAAGCCCTGCTGGGCTGGGATGCACCTATCCCTACTTCTTAGATGTTCCCGTATGTTCTCAACAGCATTCTGTCCTTCCCAAGGAGTGTCACTAAAGCTAGCTGGTGTCTCAGGATTGTTACCTTTATTGATGATTTTCCCTTTATGCTTCCTGGTGTCTGGCACCAAGACCACACCCCTACTTCTCCAATGGCCCTTTCCCTCAGTAAGCTTAGCTTATTGCTCACCTCCCACCTTCTCCTTGAACCCCAGCAGAAAGACATGGACCTGTCAGATGCTCCTGATACTTAAGCGTCTGTGCCAAAACCTCATGTGAACCTTGTTTGTTCAAATGAGTTACTATTGAGAGAGATAGCAAAGTCATCTTCTTTAGGGAACCTGAAAATTGTCTTCAGTCTGAAGAAGGAGCAAAAGATAGGTGAGAGGGAGAGCATAAGAGGAGAGCCATGTATCCTCCTGACCATGAGCTCACGGTAGATAAACCCCCGGTTACCTGAAGGCAGCACCGTGAGCACCATCCGCTGTGACTCATCGGATGCTTGATTAATCCACTTGCTTGGGTGTCCATGGAGCTGCCACTCTGCCACCCTACACCAGTACATTCCTGCATCCTCCATCTCCACCTGATGAAGCTTCAGGACAAAGTCTGTAGGGGATGAACGGTAACAGTGCAGGTGCCTCCTAAGCCCCTCTTCCCCATACTCCAGCAAGCCATCATGTTGCAAGTGCACCAGCATTTTACTTCCAGAGTTTTCTCTGTTCCAGTACCACATCACAGAGTACAGAGCGGCTGGGCTGCCTACACTCTCCAGGCTGCAGTGGATGGCCACCTCTCTGTGCTCGGTCACATTTTCGGTCCAGTACACTTTGGAGACACGTACCTTACTTCCTAGACAATAAAATGGCAGTAAATTAGAGAATGCAGATGTTCAGATTGGATACCACCTCTGAAAAATCTAGTTCTCACTGGGAAGCTCTTATATTCTTTAGACATCAGTGCATTTATTTTATTTTTATTTTTTGAGACAGAGTCTTGCTCTGTCACCCAGGCTGGGGTGCAGCGGCACGATCTCGGCTCACTGCAACCACTGCCTCCTGGTTTCAAGCAATTCTCCTGCCTCAGCCTCCCAAGTAGCTGGGATTACAGGTGTGTGCCACCATGCCCAGCTGATTTTTTGTATTTTTAGTAGAGACGGGGTTTCACCATGTTGGCCAGGTTGCTCTTGAACTCCTGGCTTCAAGTGATCTGCCCACCTCAGCCTCCCAAAGTGTTGGGATTATAGGCGTGAGCCACGGCGCCTGGCCACATTCATTTTAATCCTTGTCCTTGGTCCCTGTTTTTCACATTTGCCAGAACATTCTCTGCTAGGAATGAAACCAGTCTCTTTCCTTCTTTAGCCCAACTGCTTGCCTGCTGGACCCTGCCATTGAAAACCACACAGCTGCTGCAGGGCCCTCTGCCTGCTGCTTTTATTTATCCTTGATTCACTCCTCCTCTACTTCCCAAAGTGGTCGTTCACAACTTTTAGCAGCTCCCTCAAGCCGTGTATTCCACCAGGACCCCTCATTCTTAGCAAATTACTCTCCTCCCATCCACCCAGATATTACCTGGGTGTAGATGCAGAAAGAGAGGAGGCCATCCGAGAGACTGAACATTTGATGCAAGTGTTAGAAAGCCATCCAAGGGAACTATTTAGATGATTGGATTAGACTAAGTTTTAAACAGATTTTGACATTTACCTTTTTCCCCCTTGCTAACCAGCAGGTGAGGATTTAGAATGAAGGCTAAAGTAGTTACAAACAAAATAAAGAAATTATAGCGTGCATTACTACAATTCTACTACAAACACATTTATTTATTTATTTATTTATTTATTTCTATTTTTTTGAGATGGAGTCTCACTCTGTCACCCAGGCTGGAGTGCAGCGGCACAATCTCAGCTCACTGCAACCTCTGCCTCCCGGGTTCAAGTGATTCTCCTGCCTTAGCCTCCCAAGTAGCTGGGATTACAGGCAGGGGGCTAATTTTTGTATTTTTAGTGGAGACGAGGTTTTACCTTGTTGGCCAGGCTGGTCTCGAACTCCTGACCTCAGGTGATCCACCTGCCTTGGCCTCCCAAAGTGCTGGGATTATAGGCATGAGCCACTATGCGCGGCCCTAACACATTTATTAATCTGTCTTTAAGAGAATAATTCTGTCTGATCTTGGACTCTTTCTTAGTTACCATGTTTACTCTCTCCTTCATGGAGAAGCACATGGAATATTAGCTTATGTGATACTGTTGCTGTTTCCTTGCCTCAAATTACTTCCTATTTTATTGTGATCTGGCTTCCAATCCCATCACTATACTTGGCCAGGGCCTAATTTCCCAGTTCAAGGGACCCTCTAGTCCTTTTCTCTATGTGGTTTTTGTTACTGGAGTCCATTTTCTCCTTGAAATTGACTTCTTTTTTTCCTATCTCAGATAAAATATCCTTCTTACAACTCTGACCAGTCATTCTCAGCATCTTTCTGGGGCCTCTTCGTTAACTTGTTCCCTAAACGACATGCACAACCAGAAGTCCACAGCCACGCCAAGCCCACAGGTTATGTTCTGCTGGACACTTGCAGTATTTTAAAAGAACTAGGCCAGGCGCAGTGGCTCATGCCTATAATCCCAGAACTTTGGGAGGCCAAGGCAGGTAGATCACGAGATCAGGAGTTTGAGACCAGCCTGGCCAATATGGTGAAACCCCGTCTCTACTAAAATTACAAAAATTAGCTGGGCATGGTGGCGCACGCCTGTAGTCCCAGCTACTCTGGAGGCTGAGGCAGGAGAATTGCTTGAACCGGGGAGATGGAGGTTGCAGTGAGCCAAGATCACACCACTGAATCCAGCCTGAGTGACAGAGCCAGACTGTCTAAAAAAAAAAAAGAAGTGAATTAGTTGTGGACATTCTCAAACTGGGAGATGTTACCAAAAAAGATTTTAGGCATCTGTAGATATGCAAAAAGATCTGACAACACGGAGTCCACATTTGTACATGGGAGGCACTTGAGCTAAGCAGTGGCTGCCTCCTGATGAGGGGCATGCACATGTGGTCAAGGGTTTGGCATGGATGACTGGGAGACAGAATGCCAATCACACAGATGGGAAATGTAGAAGTACAAATGAGCATGGTGAGATGGCAGAGATGCTAAGTGCAATTCAGGGCATGCTGAGTATGGGGGCATCCAAGTAGAAATGTACAGCAGGCAGTTGGGTATGAAGGCTTGGAGCTCAGGAGATCAGGACTAAGCACAAAATCTCAGGGTTATCATCCAGAACGTGGTAGTTGAAACCAGGGCAGTATTTAAGAAATTCTGAGGAAAGCAGAGAATAAGAAGCAAAACAGGCCCAGGATCTGTCCCTGAGGAACACATGCATTTAGCAGGGAGAAGAAGGGGCTTGAAGAACATGGAGAAGGGAAGCCAGAGGGCAGGAAGAGATCCCATACCAAGCTGCTGTTTTGCCCTTGTTGTCCCACCAGACTGGGAGCTCCTTAAGGGCCAGGGCTGTGCCTTCTTTATCTTTGTATTCCATTGCCTAATACATAGTAATGCTGAATTATCATCCTTTTTTTTTTTTTTTAACATTACCTTGAAAATAATATTTTAAGCACCAAATTAGATCAACTTCTCTGCATTGTGCTGTTGGATCTTGGCCAGTTCCCGAACCTTGGCTGTGACATTCATTTAATTTTAATCAACACTGGAGGTGACCTAACCTATGCTGAGAGACCTAATCACCCTGCCCGCATTTAGACAGCAGCACTCTTAGACCAGTGCGGAACTTCCATTGCATTTTTAAAGATCTCCTGAGGAAGAGGAGACTCCTTCAGTAAGCCATTCCAACAGTTAACTACTCTTATTTGCCTTATGTTTAGGCAGCTAAATGTTGAGAAGCAATTTCTCCACACATCCCCATAGAGTTGTACAGTTTCTGTTCACAGTGGGAGAAATATGCTTCGTATTACTCTTTCTCTGCCAAATTACAGTAGAACCCCACTGGAATGACACAGCTTGCTATTATAGAGATCTGGAGATACCATACCCTGGGTAGCTGCATAGACTAGGCTGCCAGGCTGAGAAGCGAACCAATCAAAGGGATCTTGCTTCTACCTCAGCTCCCCAAAACCTCAGATTGAATCACCTTAAGTGACCTCCCCTCCTGTGGTGGACTACCCGGTCCTGCAGTCATTTGTAGGTGGACACTGTTCCTATGACTTTAGGTCATATTTTTACTCCCACATAATCACTCCACAGAAGAGCTGCCCAAGAAAAAACAGCCATCGGACAGACAGACATGGTGAGGATACACCCTCAAGGTTTACCTGTGGGCTTGAGTTTCAATTCTGTTAGTCCTGACTTCTTTTCTCCAAGCTTGTGCCAAGTGCCATTTGTAGACAGGAGCCATTCCTCCACAGCACAGTGATATTTGCCCTGATCGCTGTCTTCCACATTCAGAATGTGCAGCTGAAATAAGTCTTGGGAAACCTTCTCAGTATGAAATTTTTGTTTTCTCCATGGGGTGTGAAACTCATCCCCAGTTTTTATAACATTGGTTTGGTCCACCTCCAGGATCTTTAGCCAGGAGGCATTAGTGGAAATAGGAGAAAAATACCAAATGATGGCTAACTGAAGGTTTCCACTGGACCGGGACAAGATGCTACATTCTATATCAGTGTTGGAGTTGATGGAGAGCTCTTGGACTTGACTCCTTGAATTCACTTTTAGCTTGCTCTCTAAATTTAAAAAATGGAAACAGTTACTTTGCTACAAAACAGAAAGTTAAGGTAGTAGAGACATTAGAGGTCAAGTATGACACTGCATCCTCCCGCCATCATATGGGTGAACTCCCTCTACCGTAGCCCCGCTCACTGCTCATCCAGCTTTTGAACAACATCACTAGCTGACAAGGCAGCCCATTTCATCTTTGGACAGCTCTGCCACTCCAGAATGCGTTCTGATATCAACTTGAATTTTATCTCTTCATGACTACCATCCACTAGTCCTAGTGCTACCTGTGCTTGGTAGGGGTGGTGTGGCAGAGGGAGTGTCTCTCTTCCCAGTATCTCTCTTCCACATGATACTGCTTCAGTATTTAAGCACAAGCATCTCTTCTGTCACATTTCATGTATCAGATTGGGAGAAAGTGGCCCTATTAATGCTGTGTTTGTGTGTTTACTATGCAGAGTACTTCTGGATTCACAATTTTCAAACTCTAGTTGTATCTGCCTTCAAACATGGGTAAACAAAAGGAAGTTGTACATGAGTGATTAAAACTGTGTGCATCTTTGCAGCCACTTAACTGTGGAAACATCGTATGGATGTGGAGTCAACTAATCTTTGACCCCAGCAGCTTTTCTGCTTTGTCAGAAAGATGAGTGACCATCCTTATTCCCAAATCTTCTTCTCACATCTTGCTCACATCACCCACTCTACTTTTGTAACTGCTTATTGGTGTTGCCAGTAGGTCTCTTTACTCTTCCTTCAGCAAACATTTATGAAGCACACACTATATTATGTGCCAGACAATTCCAGGCCCTGCGGATATCTTCCCTCAGTGGCTCACACTCTAGAGGGAGACAAGTACAGGGACAGAGGCTTAGAGATGGTGCCAAGTGCCATTTGTAGACAGACAGCCACTCTACCACAGCACAGTGATATTTGCCCTGATCGCTGTCTTCCGCATTTACAATGTGGAGCTGAAATAAGTCTTGAGAAACCTTTCTCAAGTGTGAAATTTTTGGTTGTTTTGTTTGAGATGGAGTCTTGCTCTGTCGCCCAGGCTGGAGTGCAGTGTCATGATCTTGGCTCACTGCAACCTCCACTTCCTGTGCAGAGTGATTCTCGTGCCTCAGCCTCCTGAGTAGCTGGGACTACAGGTGCGCACC